GCCAGCTTCCAACCCACCCTGGTAGCTCAAACTCTGAATGGACCTGATATTTTTCTTTCAAAGTCTTAAGCACACCAGAGAGGGCAGGTTCCCTTCTCCATCCACCCTTCTGTGTTCTAGAATGTGAGGCTTCAGAGCTGGAAGAGCTCTGCTGCCAGCCAGAAAGCTCTGCAGGAGCCTTCCAGGGAAGGCAGTCCTACCAGCCTCACTGCGGCCGCGTGGGCGCTGCGCTATGCGGAACCCTATAGACCAGGAGTAGGTTAAGGCTCTAAGATACACGAATTTCAAAATTGAAGCAATAAAGCACATTTTTTTTCTCAGCTTGCAATTGCCCCTTAATTGGACCATGAATAGCAATTACACTCTAAGGTCTAACAGGAATTTGTGGGTAATTAGAGTATGTCTTGGGCAGTGGGTTTTAATGGAGGAACCTTACTAGTCATTGAGTGACTTTCACCTTCTACCGAGTGATGAAATCATCATGAAATGCCTATCAATCACTCAGAAATTGCAAGTGTGGTTTAAATTCTTGCTAACGTAGGACTAAGAAGGCTAGAAAAACACACCCTGCCCAGATTTTCTGTCTGTGTCCTTGAAGAAGTGGGAGAAGCAGAAGCAAAGGGGATCCATGGTCTAGGAAGTCACAGTGCCCTGTCTGTAACTGCTTTGCACACATTGCTTCGGTTCTCTGCATGGCTTTGCAGGGAGTTTATCTTTATGCCCATTGCACAGATGAATGCAATGAGACTCAGAGCAATTTACCCAAACTCTTAAAATTGGTAAGTGATAGATCCAGAATTTAAATCTACCTGTTTAATGTAGGTCAAGCACAAAGTTCATGACCTTTCAAGTCTACAATCACTCAGAACTTACTGAGCACTTACTATGGACAGCAGTGTTCTATACATCATGCAATTCCATACTTTCAATGGCTATTTGGGGTAAATATTTTTATTACATTTATAAATTATAAAGTAGATATATGGAGTGATAGCTCTTGTCTTGGACTATCACCCTTCCCCACCCTTCTTAATACACACACACACACACACACACACACACTCTCTACATTTCTTCTGTCCCTTCAACTTTATTTTCAACTTTATTTTCCAGTAGCTGAAGCTGCAACTTTGGGGTTCCCTCAGAAGCAGCCCATAACAATTTAAGAGATAACCAAAGAAGCAGCACAAGCAGTATGAAGAAATGGCCCGAGGAAGGAAAGGCAGCCAAAAAAAGGATAGGTTAGCCAGGCAGCTACTAACGTCGAGCCTGGGGCTTGGCCTCATAGGGAAATGGTGTGGACCACACACATCAGTGTCACCCCACGGAAGACCAACTGAGTGGACAGTCATCGACCAACTTCCTGGAAGTGAGAGAGTCAGTTCTTCCATGCTTTCAACTCATGGTGAGGGGAGCACAGTGGGTTCCAGAGCAAGAGGAGACCCTCAGCAAAAGAACTCAGGCACATATGGGTGGAAAGGACAGGGCAAAGGAGCAGACCGGCCTTCAGTGAACCAAGAGGCAACAGAAAGCCTAGCTTTGAAACCAAGAGGATCTGGCTGGGCATGTTTACTGTGTCATTCCCTGGCAGTGAATGACCTGGACTATTGTGCTCACATCTTTCACTTAGACTAGATCAACTTATATGTGAGCCACGGGGCTGATTGATACCCATATCATCACAGATCAGATCCTGACCTTGCACTTACCTGGCATACAGTTGCTATTCAAGATATTAATTCACCTGCACCTCAAAAACTGACTCAAAAGCAAAGAATAAGAAGCAGCTTCTGGCCTAGCCAAAGTATCAAATCATGTTTCACTTAAGTCCTCTAAAGCAATAAAGTGTAATTTGTAACTTCTCCATCTAGTGGCTTATGGATTTCTTTGAAAATCTATTGAAATCTCCCAGCTTCCATCCCAGAAATACACACAGAAGACACAAAAAGATATCTTGCAGAAAGCAGAAGAGGTACTTCCACAGTTATCTGGGGAAATCAATATGTAAGCATACTTCATTTAGTGAATTTGCTGTTTTTTGCCTGCTGTGAGCATTTCTGAGTTCTAATCCTGGCGGTGACACAAGTTTGCTGACTCTAGAAAGAAAAGCATTCTGAATGGTGTCTGTGAGTGGCTGAGGACAGACAGGACCCTTATTCTCTATCCTGGTTCTCAGCAGCAGCAGGGCCACATGCTTAAGCAGAGACAAAAGTATTCTGTGAATCATTTGCTCAGATTGGCGTTGGGCCATTGGTTTCCCTTCAGGTCAGTGTCCTTCCAGAAAATGAATTATGTCACGCTCAAGGATAAATGCTGACTGGTTTATTCCAAGCCCTCAAATATAAGAAAAGAAGTGATGAAAAATAGAAGCCAAGTTTGGAGTTACTTAACCTGACTGAAAAATGACATCTTTCATGTGAAAGATAGCAATCTGCTAATGCCTTGGATTTAAGTCTCTGCTGGTTTCTTTTGGGAAAAGAAACCTCCACATAGGGGCGAT